ATCCTTATAAATGTATATAAATACAATACCGTATTTTTTTAAATGATACTTGTGTTTTAATGTTTGATTCCATTAATTGAATTAAATATGTTTTAATGAATTCTACTGAAATTATTGTTACATTGTCACAGTGTTGTAGTCAAGTCACCAATTCACGAGTCCAAGTCACTCTCGAGTCACCACTCTTCGAGTCCGAGTCCAAGTCCGAGTCACCAAGGGAGAGTCGTAGTCGAGTCCGAGTCCAAGTCCGAGTCACAAGGGAGAGTCGTAGTCGAGTCCGAGTCCAAGTCCGAGTCACCCAAGGAATGTCCGAGTCGAGTCCGAGTCATCATTACCTGTGTTCGAGTCCGAGTCCAAGTCCAAGTCCGAGTCACCCAAGGAGTGTCCGAGTCATCATAACCTGTGTTCGAGTCCGAGTCCAAGTCCGAGTCACCTAAGAAGAGTCCAAGTCAAGTCTGAGTCACAAGTCTTCATGTATTAATCTTCATGGATATATGTGTTGAAATGTAGCTGCTTCTCTACATTGCTTTTATCCTGTCATGTTATACTAATCTGTCTATTGAACTGCTGTGAAGCCAGTTTGGCTACAATTCTTGTAATAGGTGCTATACAAATATAAAGCTTATTACTAATATTAATATTATTATTATTATTATTATTATTATATATAAATAAACTATGTTTAAAATGAGTTACCTTTTAGAGAAGTGATTATATTTGTATGCCAATATTTTCCTATGGTAAAGTTTTCGTTTTGCACTTTTATTTTGATAGTAATAAGATCGGGACTCTTATTTTGAAGGAACTTTTACCGGTTAAATCGGTTTACTGATAAAGATTGAGCCCCAGAAAGCACATGGCTACTTAGCATGCAAAATGACGTCATTCTGCATGTTAAGTAGCCATATGCTTTCGTGTTATCGGCTGAATCTTTATGTATTGATTAGATCACGTTACTCTGATGATAGTGTTCAAGACAGCCTATATGTCTGAACTCGATGTTTAGAGTAATGTGTTACGGAGCCTTCTCTTCAATATTGTTTCCACATAGAGCATTTTGCGCTGCTCTTTTCCAATGTGGAAGCAGAATGTGTGAAAGCATACAGCACGATGCGGGGTGTGTCTCTAGACATCTTTAGACTGGAATAGCGGGGCCCAGTACGTGAACTCGCCTCGCAGCCGGTGCACACGCCAGGATAGAGGACATCAGACTCTATAGAAAACTTGCTCGAGTCCGAGTCCGAGTCCAAGGCTGAGCGTCAATGTACAAGTCGAGTCCGAGTCATCATGGGGGGAAAAATTCACGAGTCCGAGTCCGAGTCCAAGTCAGCGTACGCGATAATTCACGAGTCCGAGTCCGAGTCCGAGTCCAAGTCATCGTGCGCGAGAATTCACGAGTCCAAGTCCGAGTCGCGTCAATCAGTGCGGGAGTCCGAGTCGAGTCACGAGTCCCGAAAATCGGCACTCGAGTCCGACTCGAGTCCGAGTCCAGGACTCGAGTACTCCATCTCTGCATTGTCATCATGTAACTACTTTGTTCTTTCATTTGCCTCACCAGAAAAGTCACACCTCCTCTTGAAGACATTTTGCCTCCTGCTATGGACTTCAGGTTCACATTAGGTAAGCCCTTGAGTGTGTCAGACTAGTTGTTGTTTCAGAGGTTAATTCAAGACGTGTTATGTTTACATACTAATATAATGAGCATCAGGTAAACGTACCCATTTCTATTTTTTTAATCACAGATGGGATGGAGATGTTAACTATGCAGCACTAGTGTCACCACTCAAAGTGATATTTTAAAAACATGATCGACTCCATCATGGAACCTTTGGACAGAAACGTGCCTTGCCCTGCATTCATGTAGACTGGCCTGCGCTCTCACTTATCAAGATAAAAGTTGAAATAATCGTCTGTTCTTTTTATTCTAGGACCCATGTCCCACTTTATATAAATCTCTGAGCATGAGGTGGGGTTAAAAATAAGTAGTTGGACATTTTATGAACTATATCAATATCATGACTATGTGGTTCATTTTCTTGCAAACCAGCCTTTTTTTGATGGCTTAAACCCCTTGTAATGCATGTGAATAGCACCTCTGTTACCGTCTGTTAACAGCTAATGTAAACTGGCTCGTTATGTTTTCAAGACGGATTTGATTTTTGTTTTGAGGAAAACACATGGTGTGTCCTGATTTGTACTCAATTTAGTGTTTTGTTTGTATTTACAGGGAACAGCAGAGGTCGAAGTGCAACAGGCTCGTGATGCACAGCATGAAGTTATACATTGCCCAAGAGCCAGATGCAGTTATAACCATCAAGTAATAACCATGTGTCTCCATGTATGTTAATGTGTTGTGCTTTTAAACAAACTTGTTACTCTTTTATGACAACTGTTTTGAAATAATCAAATTTGAATAAAACGTATTAACATGTCCATAACGTTCCCTTTTTTAATTTATTTGTTTAATCTGCAATGTTTCAATGCTATCAAATATTTAAAGGGTTGGATTCAAATCAGGAAGAGTTTGTCGTATATAGGTTCCGGCAACTCAATTGTGTTTTATAATTTACTTTATTCTCGTGTGGTTCTTAGCAGATTGTTATTTGCATTGGTTACACTTAATATCTGGGCTTTTAATTGTAGGCTCATCTCATCTTTTCATATGCAGAAAAAATCACATTAGTGAGTTTATCCAACTCCTATAATTGCTTGGAATCGCTTGACACATATTTTTTAATTTTTCGCAAAGTAACACATTCTTGAGTAGAGGAAAACAAAAAAAAGTATATTTCACCAACTCAAAAAATGCAAAAGTTGACTAAACTCTTAAAATTGCTTGGAATCACTTGACACATATTTTTTAAGTTTTACCAAAGCAACAGTTTTTACAGTGAATGATGGAGCAACTGCGCTGTCATATGTGTGGGCTGGACCTGTAGGTTAATTTACAGGAAAGGAGTGAGCAGAGCAGCTGATGATATATGATCACCTGAGAGCTGCCGTTTCATTCAGACTGTTTAAAAAAAAAAAACGGTCTGATTTTAACAACTCAATGTGTGATTGTTATAGCAGTAATATTAGACACTAATAATACAGTAAACTATTAACACTGTACATATTATTGTTTGCCCGTGGGATTAGGATTATCGGTAGTGAGAGCCGTGCTGTATTTTCCTCCGGTCGGATGTGATGTAAAAACAAACCGATTATTTTTGTAGTTAATTCACGTGGATTAAACTACATGTATTAGTGCATTCATTTCAATTCGGCGAACATATGATACATTAAATGATCGTGAGGATGATGATTACAAATCGTTTGTGTGAGCCGGTCTGCATTTCCTGACAAAAAAACATAGCGATGGTTTTGTATTTACACCAACGTGGATTAAACAACATTATTTTGTTAAATAAAAACATGGTGATGTTTTGTAAATAATTACATGTCTCTTTAGCACAGAATATGATCCTATCCGTGACATATGGATCTTAACAAATATCCGCTATATCAGATACCTCTACTGTAGATCTATCAGCTGTTTATTTTTTATTTCACATGAGTTCCACTGTGGAAGCTTTTTAATCACTGCACCCCCTGGTGGATCCATGATCCATTGCAGCTGGTTTCATTATAATTAAATGTATTTATCAAGGGGGCGTATCAAGTCCTGCGGGGGGTTTTCCTTTTCAGCAGGGGCCCACCCCGCACATATCACGGACCCGCACGGGTAGGCGTCTGAAATGAAGTGCTACATCTGTATAAACAATTTTAAATACAAGTTTCTCAGGTATTATTATTTTTTTAAAGAGGACATATGTCACAGAAGTGGCGCTACGGCTATTGGGCCAACTCTCCACCTATCAGGGGAATGTGGGGTTGGGCCACGGCCGGCCATTGCCGCTCGAAAGCGGTGGAGACGCTGTAGTACATATGCCAGGCCTGTAAGTGGCGCTGTAGTCTGCCACAAAAGCAGCGAAGAAGACTTCCCGCCCATAGTTACCATGGTTACCCTTCTGTTTATTCTCCGCTGTGGCTTTTTTTCTCCCTCCCCGAGGCAAGCGTTTGCTCCCGCTGCTTTAATTCAATGCAATCCCTCCCCGTCGAGGCAAGCACTGTAATTCTCTCCGGTTAGTCCACCAGCAGATGACAAACACCCACCTCTCCGCCTCTTCCAAGGAACGAGGGGACTGTGCGGCAGAGTTTCAGTTTCAGTTTCTTTCGCCGGTCAAGATGTCCGTTAAAGTTTAAATCTTCCGGACAAAATTAGAAAAGTGCCGGTCAAAGGTCTTCTTTGTTATTTATTGAGCTTTAAAACAAATGAATAATGACTCTATAGGCCTATAATAATATAATAAAACACGGAGGACAGAGATCTTTTTTTCTCCCCCTCTCGACTTGATCAGAGCACGGCTCCCCTCTCCTGCAGGGGGGCGTGGTCAGCTGCAGCTCACAGAATCAGCCCCCTGCAAAAACAGGGCTGGAGAACAGCAAATAGAGCGAAATGAGGCATGGCTAAAATGCATGATCTGTTTGGTATTTTGAAAACAGAAACATATAAATATACCTTATATAGGTATGGCCCTACAATATATAATTTAAATATAGCATGATAGGTCCACTTTAAAGTACCAAAAGTAAAAGTACTCATTATGCAAATTGCCCTCTTTGAAAATAAAGCTTGTTTTAGGATCTTCACTTGGCCCTTATCCCGTGATTTAAATAAAGGTTTACGTCTTAAATATTAAGTCAAACTTTATAAATAAGATTGTCTACACAGAAATCAATAACATCTAGAGCGAAATGCATATCTTTTTTGAAAACTTGTCTAAAACCCAATAAATCAAGAAAGGTCTCCTGACCCCCATTGAAACATTGGAAATGCCTATTAGGGGTCGGGACCCCTAGGTTGGGAACCATTTGCTCTAACTGACAAAACAAGCATGACGAGTCAAGGCAACTCATTATGAAAGGGTGCATCTACAAACAACTAAATATCCCAGTTTAGCATAGTACTACATTTATTGATCGGATAATTTCCACAGGACTTTAAGACAGTAAACGTTACTCATCACATAAATAGTGCTACCAAAAATATTGCTAATTGGAAAATGAATGAGCGTAACACCACAGCGATACACTTTGACACAACAAAGACGTAAAAAAATATTAAAAGTACATATGCCCTCCGAGAATCCTAAACGTCACTTAAAACGTACAGTACAAGTATATCAAAATAGACACAAATATATGATTATAAAACATGTTTCAAACTGCATCCCATTTGTTTAGAGGAACAGGACACTTTCTTATCAAAATATGTTATCCAACACATATATTTTCTACAAATTTCACTTCAAATTTTTGTTGTGCAAGTTTTTTTTCTTAAATCTCTATTAAGGCAAGACTAGGACAGCACCACAGATGCAACCCCTGGAGTTACAGGTATGTATCAAAGGCCACAAACACACCCTTCAAAAGATGTTACAAATATATATAAGAGGACAAACAACTACAGTTTTGGGTCAAAGGTTGCAGGTTATGATCCAAAATGGCTGTCCTGAGCAGTTGTAAGAAACTTAAAGAGTGATGTATGGTGATTTATAAGCCATCAATAATTAGGCTTGGCGTTTAATGTTATAAAAACTTAGTTGATTTAATGTAAATATATTTTTTAAATAACATCAGTATCATAAATACTTACCACAGCAATATACCAGCCTTTAAATCAAAGACTTTCACAGTGACTTTTTGCAAAGCCTCTAAAAAAGGTTCTTTGCATAGTTAGGAGATAGTAAATGCATAGAAAAAAGAAATCAGTGTGTAAAAGATGGTATCTCGTCATTATTAGGTGAGAAAAGTCTATACACAGATTTGTTATTGTGGCTAACAAAGAATCATTGAAGCCTTTACAAACAGTTTTCATACTTTTCTGATGGAACTGGCCACCAAGCTTTCTCGTCTGGTGGTAACAAATGCCTGTTGTTTTTCATAATAGGCCGCCTCATTAATAAAAGTGGGGTAGACCGTTCCTGAGCCTTGGAACCGGATGGTCTTTCCATCAAACGTTTGGAACATAGGGTCACCGGGGTTCAGCGGCTCCCAGTCACAGTCCTGAAACAACAAGCAATAACCACGGGGAAAGTAACTTGAGTATGTTGCTCAAACTAAAACAATAAAGTCTCACAGTGACCAGAGATGTCTCATTTCCTCTTTTGTTATGAAAGAGGAAATGAGACATCTCTGGTCACATCATATTTACAGGTTCAATAGATCAGATTTCTGGTCGGTGAAGGCGGCTGTAGTTCAGATGTTTACCTGCAGATTGGGATGCACCATAGCTATGATGTTTCCGTTGGCATCTCTGGGGTAGTCGATCCTCTCTAAGACCCGGAAAACTTTTACTGTACAGGAAGGGAACTCCATGCCTGAACAACACACATAACACAACATCCCCCATACGGTTAGCATCCTGGATAATAAGGTATTCCAAAAACTTGTTGTAAATGTACAAAGAAAAGAATAGGCGATATCAATCCTAATAGGCTAGAGCTAATAACAAGGGTATTGCTTCTGAGTATAGGAGGATAAAACAATTTAAACAGAGAAGAAAAAGAGACAAAAAACGTGCTTTATATGAGCACAAGTACCATTGTATACAGGGAACTAAAACTGCATGAAATCAAATGACCCGTATCGAATGTAGACTACAAAGACAGAAATATACTTAGTCTATTCATTTGGAGTGTGTATACAGTAACAATAATTTGGATAGTTGAAGACCTAATATAAACGTACATTGTAAATATATTAAGCATTGTTATTATGTTATTATATTTTATGTTGAGAATAAAGGACATAATCCGTAAAAAAAAAATTGAAATTGCATAATTTTTATTTTTACTTTTAGTGGGCATTATGGTTGCATTTGCAAACTGTGATTTAAAAAAAATATATTTTAATTTGTATTCCTCGAGATTGTGAGAAACAGCATTTAAATCTCTCTGTCTGTATCTCACATAGAAGATTGACAATAAAGTTGACTTTGACTTTTCTGTATAGTTAATCTCTGACATAGCTACATTATAGGACTTTGCTATAGAAGCTGGAAGGAGCCACACAGTGCCAAAGTGGCATTATTCAAACTGAGCTAAACAGGATGTGCAGTGGTTTGTGGCAGAGCTTGCACATTCAGTAAGTCAAGCTCAATTGAACTGCTTTACCACTAAGTGTGAGACCACTTGGCTGTATTAATATGCAAGCGGCAGCACAGAGCAAAAGGGACAAATGTTCAGACAGTGTTCTCTCTGAACAAGTTGTTTCTTGGTGATGTTCAGCTTCAAAGGGCAGGAACACTGATTCATAACCATGCCAGGGCATTCATCAGCACCAGTGCAGGCCCCACGACAGAAGATTAACGCACCATTGGCAACCAGACTCTAAAAACAAGCAGGCCATTCAACAGGCTGGGCAGATACCAACAGACTGCAACTCACACTTGGCACGGACTGATTGTTTACGTAAAAGAGGAAGGAACGGCTGCCTAAACATTGCAAACGCTCTTTTGTGCCTAAGGGTAAGAGAGAGAACGGGATGCAGGTACAGAATCGGACTGGCACCCATGGGCGTTTTGTCACAAGATGTTTCTCGTCAAGATGAGGCAGACAAACAGGGAAGTAAACAACTTGTTTTTCTTTTATATAACACATATGATTCATAACATGAGTCGGATTCTAGAAACTGCAAACTTTAGGAATCATGTTTGCTTCAATCTCAACTGCTAATCTTTTAAAGTCCTATGATGTGGCCTGTGTAGCGTGTTAAAGCTTAAAATGGTAAGCCGCTACAGTGTGCCTGCCTTACCTTCATTAAACAGTTCAATGAAGTCTAGCGCATGTTTCAGTATCACCCTCATAGCTTCAAATATGTTGCTCCTCAAAACACCTTGAGGCTGGGGACCCACTTCCAGACCTGAAATGAAACAAACCAGAAGACACATTTGGCAACTGTCGAGGGAATATTGTAGGTTCATTTTTCCAAGGGACATTTGCTTGAAAGACTTGAGAGAGACTCACCAACAGGGTGCTTGGCAATAGAGCGGGAAGTGGAATATTTCAAAAGAGGATGTTCATTCAGCAGAACAAGACAACTACTTGGAGCGATGGCTTTCTGCAAAACAAGTCAAACAAGCTAGAAGTTAGCTTCAGGTAATTACATACCTAAGCAGCACCAGTGTATTACTGACGTTACATTTAGAGCCTTTTTTTGTATTACAGATGTTCTGATATGTTATTTTAATATGCACATGAGGCATTATCTTTGCACATTTGCAAACATTTCTAGAACACAAATCTGACCATTGGATGAAACTAGGTTAAACATTATTGTTTTATTACACTGTGTAACAGTTACATAATGAGTTTGGATTTATATTTGTATCACTTTCAAAATGTGATATCGACCCTCGAACCTGAAAGTATCCAAAAAAAAAAAGTTTAAAAACTATCTTTTTCTTATGTCTTGACTCAGGTCTCTGAATTAGTGGGGAAGCTAAGTCGCCATTTGAGGGGTAATCTTCTATCTTTGTATCCGTTTGTTCAATCTTTTTTCTAAGTTCAAAACACATTTTTCTGCTTTGTTGCTTTTGGCAGCTCTTTCCCTCCCTGGTGTTACTAGTCTGAATACCTTCATTTTTGTTGAACAGCTCAAGCAGTTCAATACATTCCAAACAGGAACGCCAGCTTATGCAATGTGAGGTTTGTAAAGTTTTAAAGGTATATGTGCTTAAAATAAATGTTATGTCATAGTTCAAATACTACATATACCGTATTTTACAAAAGAAGAAGACATCTTCTCAGACTCATAAGAAAACAGGCTCAAGTATTTGGATGGTTGAACCTTTAAATGAGTGTGTCTAACACGTAAAGGTAAACTGTTGATTATATTATCTACAAAGGGTTAACTGAATCTCTCCAGAGAGACCTTTTAGCTAAATATTTACTTTAAAGTGCAAAGATCTTTGAACTCCCAGTCACCCCCTTTAACTTTCTTCTATTCAGTGTGAGTCTAAAAACGCCTAAAACACACTACATTGAGAAGTGAAGGTCCCATTAAACATATTAATGGAGAATGCGTCTATGGTATAGTGTAGGCCTGAAACAATATCTTGACTTATGGTTCAATATGTGGACAATCATTTTTAGGTTACCTACTTATCTTGGAACATACGGACATGATTTTCTTTTTAAATATACTTTTTGGACCAGAGTGCCTTTAGTTGATAGATACAATGGTGAAGGGGGGAGGACATAGCCTGAAATTTCGGCCGCCCCCAGATATTATCTTGATCATTTTCACCTTATCTACTTAACGTTCGATATATTGATATGATCTTGATTATTTCTGTATCTATCAATTGTAATTATATCAATTACATTTATGTTTGTTTACAGTACAATGTCCACTTTAAGCTCTCTCCTCTTTGATATGTGAACTCCCTTTGATAGGGAGACATTATTATGCCTCTATGTTATTATCATATCTGTGACATTTAAGTGTCTTAAAATTGTAATTATATTGTTGCGTCTGTAGTATATTTCTATACATTTCTGTAGCTTAGTGAGAATGTATCTTGTAGAATACTCAATATTTTCTTTATATTGTGTATTATTTAGATACTCTAGTGATATATTTCCTTTTCATTGTAAATTTGTATATACTTGCTGCTAATTTGAATTTTCCTTACATTCGTCCCTTATTTTTAACTTGTGTAATGCTTGACAACACTGCTGCTGTGACAAAATAACTTCCCAATTTGGGATAAATAAAGTATCTATCTATCTATCTATCTATCTATCTATCTATCTATCATCTCATCTTTATTTCAAATGTTTCTTGGACTATATATCTTCCATTAAAAGCAGTTATTGCCACTGGCCTAGTCTGGTGTTAAATGTTATAAAAGGAACTCTTGAAAAACAGCTAATGTTACAGATGAATGCTCCTTAAAAGGTGTGCCGTATAATTCAACATTAGCTCTTGGAGGCCGTCACCTTGATGTAGTTCATCATCTGCAGATTGAAGTGGTCTTTGGAGCTCTCCAGGATCAGGGTGCAGCCCATGTTGGACGTCGTGTTGTGGAGGTCGAAGATAACATCGTAGGCATCTGGGCTTCCTTTGGGTCCGAATATCCTGTTGATCTCCTGGGCTCTCTGCACCTCGTAGGGCTGGTTGTCTCCTCGAGGGGCACTGCAGCGCACAGACACACAAAAACAAACACACACACATTACTGTAACAGTGTATTTACAGGTCTCTGTAAAAAATCCCTTGAAAAACTGCAACTAATCCAGAACGCTGCTGCCAGAGTCCTGACCAAATCAAAAAGAGTAGAACACATCACCCCAGTTCTTAAATGTCTGCACTGGCTACCAGTAGCTTACAGAATTGATTTTAAAATGTTATTGCTAACTTACAGTATAAAGCATTAAATGGTTTGGGACCCCAATATATGTCCGACATGCTGAAAATGTGCTATAAATAAACGTACCTTACCTTACCTTACACATACAGCGATGAAAAAGTTGGTAACACATTCACAGCTTATCATAAAATTCTGCTGATGGAATGATGAATAAGAACCATGTTAATAATTGTCTACTTGTCCTACATGCTCTGTAACACTTTCACCTAACTGTTTGGCATAATCTTTATGATTGACAAGTTATCACAGTAACTGCGAGAGCAAAGTCAGAAAGAAAAAAAGAGTTAGTGTATGCTTTGTATTCACTACAGTTCTTCAAATATGGAAAACTAAAAAACATTAATACCTGCATATTTTGTCTTGATTATAACTATGATTCCACCTCATGGTAGCCCTATGTTATAGGTTGGAATACAAACACTGGATTCAGCAGTTCAACAGTGGCCCCCTTTTGTGAATGTTAAGAAGAAATGCCAGCCATTTTCCCCAAGCCTTGTATGTCTGCTCCAATCCTTGAGAGATTTGTTTCGTGTCAAGTCTAAAGTTGGGTTTTTTCTCTCCGCATACCTTGGTTTTTTCCCCCTCAGGCATACCTTCCTTGTCTGTGCTCAGACAGACATTCAACACTGAGCACAGAATGAGAGTTCCCTTTTTTCTCTTAGCCCTTTAAAAGCATTTTAGAATAACAACTGGTCTAGGACATTCTCCTAACTACTGTAGAATAGCACCTCTGCTGTGCATATTGTCTCGCCTCCCTCACATCTGCTCTTTTCACCCCACTTTCAGCAAATATCCGGTATTGTCTGGATTGAAGGGACATTGGTACACAACCACAGTGAGCCACAGCGGATACAAGTGGTCTCCAACACACAGCCGACAACTGAGAGGACAGTTAACACAGTCAAAGGAAAAGGCGGATGAAAACAACACCATGGGCTTTTTTTTAGAGAAGTGGATAATCTTTTTATAGATTACCTCCAGACATGCCAAACTGAAAGTATAGAAAATACTTTTAAACGGTCATTTTAAAAGTGGCAGATGAGGTAATAACCGCATACAGAACAATCTGTGCATCATTACATTAAGTAAAATACCTAAAAACGAAACGACAACAGAACTTTAATTGTAACTGTAAAATTAGGGCTGGGTGATATGGAGAAAAAAAAATCAAATATTATATATTTATCCATATACCTCAATATCGATATTGCAACTAAATTGTAGGGTTGACAGTCAGGGCTTTAACCAAATATTTACTCATTAAGATTTTTGCTAAATAATTATCAGTATTGGTTACATATTGACTAAATGGTTAAAGGAAATGATAGAACTGCTTCAATGCAACCTTTAGAAGCAGGAACAAAATATGACAACATACAAAATGTAACACATCATTTAGTCTCATAGAAATATCGATATACAGTAATATCAACATATTGCCTAGCCCAAGGTTAAAAGGCCAAGTTCGAGCCCATATAGATACATCACGTGATAACACTACTTTACAACTTGCCCCAGTAGGACACACTATAATAACCTTGGGAATGTTATTATAGGACTCCTATGGTGATTTATGAACAGATCCAACCACTGCTTTGTGCGTTCATGCACGCAGTCTCTATGAGCCAGCATTTGCGTAAAGCTTCCGCTATATTGCAAACGAAGAGGCACGAATGAAGAAAAAAAAGCACATCTTAATTCGCGGCCACGTTTCGCTCACGTTTTCCCTGCTGGCTCAGAGTCAGATCAAATCCGGGACACGCTGCTCTGATATTGTGGGGGGAGGGGGGAGGGGGGGAGACATGCTAGTGGTAAACACACATTCACCAGAGATAATAACAGTTGGATTGCGTGACAGTGTAAATCGTGTTTTAAAAACCATCCTAGTGTAACCCGTTATTCTACATTTCAATCCAGACGTTGTTTTTCATTCTATTGTTATAACTACATGTTTTCTAAGCAGGATGTCTTAACATATCCCGCATTTGTCTGACAGGTGTCAATAATGCATGTCATTACATTTCACAACACATAGAAATCTCCAATGATCGATCCTTGATTTTAGTCATTTCAATTCCCAAAAAAACGGCCCCAACGAGAAAATGTCCACAAGTCCATTCCGACAATGTACAGTAGGCCTATAGGTGTCATGTTTCTTTTAACCAAAGATATATAATCAGTAAAATCACATTCGTGGTCATATGTGAATTTTATATGGATAGGTGTAATGTTTCCATTCAACATGTATGACAGCAGACAGTGACCACAACAACAACATCCAGATCCAGCCACACTGACAGCTCTGAGGCGTGAGGCCGTTTTTACCTGAGGTTTTCCGGGGTGAAGGCTCGGTTTAGGTCCGTGTCCACATATCTGGCGCACTTCTCCACAGCCTTCGGGTTGGTGATGAACGGTTTGGTTTCGACCCCTTTCCTCTGGATCTCGGCGCCGTTTTTCACCCACAGGTTCACCAGCGTCACGCCTGACATCTCATTCCCGTGCGTTCCTCCGAAAATAGCCACTCTCCTTGCCTCTTCCAAGCTCGCAATGCTGTTAAAAGAGGACATGTCTGGGTGGTGAATGTGTGCCGAGTGTTGAAGGTGAAGACACACAGGTCTCTGGAGCGTCAGCAGCAGAGGAAAAGTTTCCAGCTGGATCTTCGCAGCCTCACTGTTTAAATGCCTTCTGTGGCTGCGCGCTTACGTAACGTGTCAACTAGCTGATAGTATGGAAAGCCAACAGTGCCACAATAGGCCAAAACCCCAAAGCGTTTTTTTAGGGACTTTAAAATGCAGCTTTTGTTGTTAAAAAATACGTTCAGCCAAAGAAAACATCCATAAGTTGCTTTTTATTACGTTTTTTTCTTATGATAATGAGCCCCTCCCTCTGTTTTGCAAAGCCAGTAAGCTCAATGTGTAACAATCAGTATAAAGTAAAGCCAGGCCAAAGTAATGGATGGAAAGTTCCTGCCATTGTAAGGCTGTATATTATTATTATTTTGAAAAGACAATGGAGGGCAGTGATTAACAAAACTTGTATCTAAAGACAACGAAGGCAACCAAAGTGATTAAATTCAAAGGCAAATTAATACTTCATCCTCTTAAATTCTGTAAGATTCAAAAAGACATCACAGATCTACAGCATTACAATAGTAGGTACCTTTTACCAAGTGGTGTTAAGTAACTAAGTAGGACTTCTACTTTTACTCACGTACAAGATCTGAGTACTTTTTCCACCTCTGCTTTTACCTATGCATTGATTTGGTCTGGCTTAACTCTAGGAGGGGCTCATTATACCAAAAAAAAAGTATGTTTTTCTTGGAGAGAAAAAAACCCAGCATGTTTTAACAATAACAGAAACACCATAAGAACTAAAATAGGGCTGAAAAGTGGCATTTTATGGCATGTTTGCTATATAGTTGTAATCTAGTTACCATGTAATACTGATCACAACAATATAGAAAGCAAATATTAATAAATACATTTTCGTGTCTGCTGGCATTATTCCAAAAATAAAGAGTATTCAAACATTGTTTATATATTTTAGTTATCATAGTGTTGGACCTTTCTGGATTAATTACTTCTCGTCACGCCCTTTAAAATAAATAAATTCCCCAAGTTTAAGATACAGTTTACAAGTACAATAAGGCTTACATATTTGCTTCTCATTCTTATTTACAACATTGTTGTAAATGTTTCACCTATAGCAATGGCTCTATTACCTATTAACTTCATGATAGTTCTGACCTATGGTGCACTTTGTAACAGCTATTACAAACCCTGACAGTCATTCACAGACTATCATATAATTTGCAATCAAAGTTAATTTGAATAATTGTGTCTCACTTACACACTGTGTCCATTGTTATGTACCAAATCACCAGAACAAATTCCTCGTATGTACAAACCTGAGTATTATTAGGATGACTAGGTGGTCAAATGTATAGGTTTAATTAATAAATAAATAAAGATTAAAGTAATGGTTTGGTTTTACATTGAAGAATGTTCACATCAAATTGATTAATATCATTTAATGAAGTTTCAATTACTGTTATTTTGTAATTTGTTTTTATTTAATCAGGCACAGTGAGTTTACATTTAAGTCAATATTTTATTTTTTTCTTCCCCTTTCCCCCCCTCCCCTCCCAGTCCTACAGTAGCTAATAAAGTAAATAACTAAGTAAATAGATACATATATAGGTAAAAATACAGTAATGTAAAAGATAATATTAAAAGAAGATTAATTAATAGATACGGAAATAAAGAATAATAGCCATAGTACATGTACCCATATACTCACATATGTATACCCACATATGCACATGTACATATATATGTGTATACCTACACACATATACACATACACGTACACATACATACACGTGCACACATACATGTATATAAAGACAGAGACAAAGCAAAAAAAAAAATAATAATAAATACAAATACAAAAGGAGACAAAAACAAAAACAAAACACATACATTCGTAGTTCTCCCCTTTCTTCTTAATTTAGTGTCTTAAGTTCAGCTATGTAGAATCATAATTCATCATCAATTACTGTTATGTTGATAACCGGTAGAAATAAAAAAGTAAAATGACTGGTTTGTTAATCCTTTACAAGTTTATTGTAACACCAACAAGGTAAAGTACTGTGCAAGTCAAATGCTTTGATACAAAACAAAATACCAAAAAAACATAAATTGTCACAGCTTCTCTGAAAACATTGTCCATGTAATCGATAGAGAAAGTGTCAGATGCATTTGCATCTTAAAAAAAAAGAAAAGACATGTAATGTATCAGTCATTTTGTGTGTTAGGGTATCCAGAATTATTTTAAAACTCAAATCAATCAAACCCATCACTTTGTCTACCATTCACCTAAGCTGAGAAGTCATAGAAATCCGCAATTGGATTATGAAGTTTTCGTCTGACCGTTTTGCATTTGCTTTCAACGATACTGTCTGAAAGCAACATTTCAGTTTTTGAGTGTAAAGTCTCAGCACTGGGAGCACGTTTGTCTTTTCTCTTGTGTGAAACTGAGCTACAGTCTTTGAGTGAAGACTTTACTGATTCAACATCTTTAGTGGCAGATGGATACTCTTGTATCACATTGGATGGCTCAACTTTAGACTTTTTCTTCCTTTTCTTTTTCAACACCACAGTCTCATCAGAAAATTCCACATCACCTGCACTTTTCAAAGTTTGCGCGCGGGTTACCGACTCGGTTTCATTTCTCGTTTCTTTCTTCGTCCTTTTCACCCCCGTGTTTGGTTCCTCAAAACCCTGCTCAGGATTTATTTCAACACTGTCCTGCGCTGCTGACAGCTTTCTCTTTTTCCTGACCCCGTTGTCATTTAGTACCACGGGTGTCTGAGCATCATTATCTTCTGCATCAGCAACACGGAAGGATGAGGTCCTTTTCTTCTTAATCGTTTTCGTCAGATTAGCATTTTGGTCTTCAAGGCCCTCCTTTGTTTTTTGGGTATTATCAACCTTTTCATTTCCTTCATGACAGTAAGAGATATCTAACCCTTGAGTAGCTTCTTTAGAACATGACGCTCGCTTCTTTCTGTACTTTTTCTTTTTGACGCAACTGGATTCTAATGTTTCCTGAGATTCTGCAGCATTTTCTGAACAGTTTTCCAATCCCTCTAAGTTTGCTGGTGACATTGGCGGCAAATCTAAAGTGCGATTTGATGCCTCCTCTTCTTCACATTCCTTTGTAGTTACAATCCCTTCTTGTTTTTTCCTTTTTTCCTTTTTCTTCTTCCGTGTCTCAGCATCAGCATTTGGAGGTTCGGTAACTGTTCCTAACTGCTCAATGTCCTCACCCCTTTTCTTTATCTTCTTCTCCTTACGCTTGTCCTCCATGTTACAGCTCACTGATGCCAAAGAATGCTCTGCTCTCACGTCAGTTTCAAAGCTTTCATTTACTTTTTCCTGCCTGACATCTTCTGCCGCAGAACTTTTCTTTTTTCTCCTTGATTTCGAGGGCACCACAAATCGTTTCCTCTCCTGTAAAATGAAAAAATTGCTTAATGCCAAGTTCACAAACAATATATACTATGATGTAAGATTTGAACAGCCTGCTTACGACCACTTTGATGTCTGCCTCATCCACCTTTTCTCCGTCATCTCTGTAACAGAATATATGCGATTTATTATCAATATTAAAAGTGGTGCACACTTCATACTAGGGATGGGAACGATTAATCGAATATTCGAAATTATTCAGGTATTCGAATAATTATTCAGGTATTCGAATACGAGTTATGAATATTTTTCTTAATACATTTTTTTTTTTTTTGGGAGGGATGCCTAAGTTGATTAGATATTATCAAATTGAATAATTCAATGTATACGACAGTGCCATAGCTAAATGTGTTAGGTGACGTCTAAAGGTGTGTTTTGCTCCGCTCACCGGTCCCTCACAGCGGGCAGAGCTGCAGGTGCTGATCTCTCTCTCTCACGTCCGGTACTTCACTCGCGTTTATGTCCAAATCCATCAGATCTAGCTAGTTCTAGCTAATGATATGGCTGCTGCCCCTGCCTACACGAAAATCACACAGACTCAAAACTCATCTTATGCCCAAATGCGCTCCGCAGCCGTTGCGAGGTTCCGGCGCTAACAGTTCATGAGCGTGCTCCCCCGCCCACTGTCAACACTCGCGACACATGAGTGGCCAGCCTAAACAACAATAAGCACTGCTTGGCAACCGTGTGTGGCGGCAAAGTACATAGACATTTTGACAGGAGAGATTTAGTTTTGCCGGTATTCAACATATTTTACCAGTCATAGTCCGGTAATTATTTACACTCTAAGAAGAGTCTTGACATGGCGTCAAAAAGGAGTAATGTGTGGAAATATTTCGACCAGGTTAGTGAGTGCGGTGTAGAGTGCAAACTATGCCAAATTAAACTTATATATATATACATACTATACCTTGCTATACCCGTAACCTCCGTTCCAGCTGACAAATTCGACTTGGTTTCTATACTTATTTGAACATGTATTTATTTATTTCCAAAAGTTATTGAAAAATCTTTTTCGAAAAAAAAAAAATGTTGACTTTTTTTTGACACAATTTTTTTTTTATAGGATATTTACATTTTTGTTAACCGGTTAACCGTTTTTTGGGGGGGTCGAATATTCGAATATACATTTCCTTTCAAATTCCCATCCCTACTTCATACAGGACCATTCAACTGTGAGAAGTAATACAATGAAACAAATGTATACAGCAAATAGAAATTATGAATTATAAAAATAAAACCAATGAAATAGAAGAATAGATCTAAGAAAGACAAAAACAAACAATATAGGTCATCATTGAACATGAATAAAACAAATAATTTAAAACAAATAAATAAAGGACTTAAGCCTTCTATTGAAAAATATTTTTAGAGGAGAGATTTATGTAAGTTTTAAAATATCAACACTTTGTATATTGATGACACCACAACAATCTAACATGAATAGATTAAAGTGTTTTTCGCTTGTCTCTTTTTATTTAAATAACGGATTCATTGTGTGGAAAGATAAATAAAAACATATTCATCATTAAAGGTAGGGTAAGTAAGAATGGAGAAACCAGAGGCCTGTACTACGAAGCCTGATTTTCCTAACCTGGATATGTTGGAGTTAGCCGGTTGGCCCAATCCAAAACATACGCGCTCTCGCTAAGCTGTACTACGACGCTGGTTATCAAGTGGATCGCTCAAGCCAGCCGTGTCCTATCTAGTTAGGTGCGCGTTCACATGAAAGGGGTGGTATTTGGAGCATTCGACCAATCACAAACATGGACAAGCGTACTGACAGCGCAGCGTCATACTTCCTGAATGAGAAGTGAACTTTAATATTAGTCAAATATGAAGAAGTTACACTTTAAACATCCATGACTTAAACACTTTATCCAGGATCAAAGCCACATAGCTGCACCTGCAAGGTGAATACAGCTGGTAAAAGAAAAAGTGTTTGAATGCGTACATTAACAGGTTTATGAAATCACTGCCCCGTCTAAGACACGAGTGGATCTGACTTTAATTACATTTGACTCGAGTGTTTCGTCAACTTAATGTGTTGCTTAAAAGAATACTTCTGCATACAGTATGTGACACTGTGAGTGTTGCACGGCCAGATACGGCTCAAGAAGCTGACTCAAATAAGGAAATATATGATACATTATGATGTGATATGAATGATAATGGGACACATCGACGTCTGCACTCACAGTGCCGCGGACTGTACTTAATGTTACTCTGATCCGGTTACTTATGTTGTGGCAGATATTTAAGTAAGCTTTCTTAACGCTAATGTTATAATAGTCAGATTGCTCTGAAGATGGGAGGTGATATTCTATTAATTTTCACGTTCACACAGTCAGTTGATTTTTGCCGGCCGTCTTTCCTGCAACGGCAGTTTTTCTGTATTTCCTCTATCCTGTAATATGACTTGATAGCTTTAAACTCCGCACACGGAGCTCTGATTGGTCAGCAGGCGGTGCTTTCACTGAGTTGATCTCTTAGCCTGCAACCTAACCTCCTCCCGAGGAGGTTAGCCGCTCAGCATAAGTTACCATGGAGATCTAGCCCGCTAAAAAGAGATCCAGCGTCGTAGGACCGGAAAGCCAGAGTTTTCCCTGAAGTCAGCCGGCTAAGCGAAAATCCAGCTTCGTAGTACAGGCCTCTGTTCGAGTGCGCTAGAATTTGAAAGTACGCAGCCGAAAAAAATCTGCCCCTTCCTTCAGACTTCCTTACAGAGCCCCTCCTCCAACACACACGAACGCACACATGGCCAATGAGGGCACGAGATAAGATGGTGCACGAGATGGAAGGCTGACGGGCAGGTTGTTCAACCAGTTATTTTAGCCGGGCTGGCTAAAATAATTGGTTGTGCTTTTTACAGTGGCTTCCACAGATGACATTTTTTAATGTATTTATTGTCAAAGCATTTAATATATTCATTGCTATCGGGATGTTAAGAGCATTCCATGGAATATAACAAAAAGTGTTTCTGAAGTGAATTACCTACCCCACCTTCAATAAGTTTGATGTTATTTTTCATATTTAAAAAATAAAAATGAACAAGAGACCCTAAAATGGATCTTTGGGGGTTCCCACAAATTATTTTATTCTACCGCTTCAGTCTAGCTGATGGGTTCTCTTAGTGTTCTTCAAATATGTTTTGAGAATCAACAGTATCAAAAGCATTCAGATCAATATTATAAGCATCTAGATTTATTAAAATCCCATCAGGGGACATACATTCTCTTTTGTTTACTGGACTATAACCTCACAACTTCATACTGTACATTTTACATTTATATTTCATTGAATATGTCATTACGTTCAACTTGTATATTTTCTACTCTTTAGTTCTGTTTTATTACTATTTTTGAAATGTTTCTCCTCTTTTAATTTGTATTTCTATTGATGTGCAATACTCTGTTTTACATGCTGCTGCAACAAAAACATTTCCCAACTTGGGATCAATAAAGTATATCTTATCTTATCTTAAGATTAAGCTCCTTCTGATTGTAATAATATATCTTTAAATATCTGATCCATATTATCTTTCAACTTGCTAAAACATGTCTTGTCTTCTTATTATAGGATCAGTTCAACATATCCATAATATACCTCTATATTATGATTTATAACCTCATTACTTTATGCTATCACTGGCGCTACTACGTGTATATACTTTATGAATGAATTATCCATGTCATGCTCTTCTTGGAGCATGAGCTCCTGATCCTCCAAGTCTTACCATTTGATTTTTGGTATCATCTCATTATCTTGATTATAGTTTTTATTTTTATTTACATTTACTTGTGCTTAACTTGTGTATTGTCCCTGCGGGCCCCCTTGAAAACAATTTGGTACATTAATGGTATTCTTAATAAAAAGTATCCATTACATGTATCCTCAAGTAAGCATGAATATTCCTTCTAATAGACTTACTCTGACAATGGAGATATGTGCTCCCCATCCATGTCAACAGTTGGTAAAGATGACTCCACATCCTTTTTTGTTTGACAGCCCTGCCTCAGAAGTCTGACACATTCAAAGAAGCCTCCCACCAGATAACTCTGTAAAAAAGGAAACTATTAAGAACTGAATTACATTTTCAAAGCATTTGTTTAAGTGTATGTATTACATTATTTGTGATCCTTACATGAAGGCGTTTGTTGTGTACAGGTAACAGCTCAGGCTTCTTCTCTTCGAGGAAAGGGAAACTGAATTTTGGCAACACGTTTTTCTTTCTTCTCTGCACCTTGCCAGATTGGGATTCTCCATCGTCGGAATCTGACGATTCTTTGTTTTCATCGCTTTCTTCAAAGTCTCTGGGAGATAAGGGTTTTGCCCACTGGCTGTAGCGAGTACGTATTCCTGTCCTCACGGCCTCAGGTACTGGCTTCTGAGTTATGAACAGGCTGTCTCCAGAGTCACTGCAGAAACACAATCATCATAGGCAGATTTGAAAACAATTCACCCACTGTGAACTGAAAACATAGGAGCAAGAGCATCTAATATGTTTAAGTCAAGCCACTTAGAAAGAGTTGTTCGTAGTACTTTGTAAAATAAATAAATAAAACAGATGTGAGAAAAAGGGGCGAGGCCTGACAAATGGGGTTCAATTCTATCCTTTTAATAGATAGATAGATAGATAGATAGATAGTAATGTTGCACGGTGTACCGATACTTGAAAGGTACCGCGATACCCTGCCGTTAAAAACGTTACGATTCCTCCGTTTCATTAGTATCGTACTTTAAGAATGACGGGGAAAAGTACTCCGGTGAGAAAGCGCTGTTTTAATAAGAGCCGTGTGTGTTCAGCGCTCTGCTTCCACTCCCTGCACTGCAGTCGTGCCTGCAGTCCCTCCCCTCTCTCGTCCACGCGCTAGCTGCCAGAGCATGTGAGAAAACGAGAAGCATGGCTGCAAGTGGGAGTGCAACTGCCGCTGCGCCTCGGCTTGTTGACAAAAAAGACGCCAGAAGCTACATTTGGAAGTATTTTAGCTATATCTCTGACAGTGAGGGCAAGCCTACGGACACCACAAGGCCTGTCTGTAAGAAATGTTTTAGATCCCTGCAAACCAAGGGAGCCAACACATCAAACTTGGCTAAGCACCTCGCCGACCGGCATCCAGAGCTGTTTAAAGAATTTAAAGACAGACAGGTTAGCGAATGTGATAGATAACATAATTACATCATGCTCAAGCCCATGCCCTCAAATCTAAGTCAAACAAGTGTAATTTATTTTGTGACAAACGAACGTTTTCGTAGTTTGACGAGGCAATTAATGGCAATGATAACTGTCTAATATGGCTATCTTTTTAGCTAACTTACCAATGTGGCTAACATCTGCAATGTACATTTTGTCAATAATTATTTATATCACTGTACTATTACATGTTAATAAAATATAAAGTTAACTATCAAAGAAATCACATAAACTCAAGTATAAAGAAGAGACCATGTTGTAAGAAAACACTTAACAGATAAACTACAATTTTATTGATCATGAAAATAATAAAAGAAAGGTATCGAAAAAGAATCGGAATCGCAATTCTTGACTTGGTATTAGGGATGCCAGAAAATCGGACAGCCCTGGCGAATATTAATCGATTAGTCGACACCTAATTATTAATTATTAATACTATTATTATTATTAGCATTAGTCTATATTTTGGTTGAAACCAAACCAGGAAAAAAAAAAAAAAACATAAATATTAATAAAAAAATATATAAATAAAATCGAATTTTAAAAATAATCTTCGATTATGGAGACTGTAACGAATATTCGAATAATCGAATAATCGCTGGCATCCCTACTTGGTATCGGTATCGAAACCAAAATGTTGGTATCGTGACAACACTAATAGATAGGTAGGTACTTTATTGATACCAATTTGGGAAATGTTTGCGTTGCAGCAGCATAAAAAACAAGCCAATAAGAGAAATTAAGACACAAGAAATAAACAGTCCAAAATATTTCTGAAATAGAAATAAAATAGCATTAAAGTTAAAACATATAACATAAACATACGTGGATGTGGAAAATATACATGTGGAAATACAACTATCCAGTAACAAATATAATGCAGGATATTATTGTGCAAGAAATTGATTATTCAATATTAAATTGAATAATGCACACAAATGTGTTGTCGTTCAAGTAGTTAACTCCTAAAACATTGCAAAAAGGTAATTAGCTACTGGAATAACAATGCAAATATAAATGTAGTTGAACATATCACAGATAGTTCACAACTCCCCAACATTTATTGTGGCATGTGAGGTAACCCTTACCGATCTGCTCCAGCAGGTCCCTCAGGTACTTCATCATCTCTGCCCTGGCGCATGGAGGACTTCACATACCGCGAGGCTTTCTCCACATAGCCTGGAGGGGTTGTTGTCCAATTCAAATAACTACTTACTCTGGTCATGGTGTATATTATTCAAAATAACGCAGTCAAAATGTTGGAAGTCTTCATGGACAAGAAATAAATCCACTTAATGCATTGTAACTAAAAGAGTATAAACCAAATAATGCTAATGTCGTATAATAACGTATAGCTGCACCAAAACAAAGACATTTTAAACAGCAGATACACACATGAGGTTTTGTGTCAACCAGGAAGTGTTCTTCTTCTTCTTCTCTCGTTTTTGGCGGATTGCAAACAACTTAAAAGGTGCATAACGCCACCTACTGTACATGAGTATGAATCATCATATCATTCCAACTCTTTAACCTATGATCTAATCAAAATAAATCAAAATAAATCAATAAATCAACAAAAACATGAAATAAATAAAACAAAAATCTATGTTCTTTCCTGACCTAATGTTAAATTATTTTTCCTGCCCCAGTTTTACTCAGGAAGTGTTTTAACGTCATCAACGTGACGGATGATCATCTGACCAATCATCGAAGAGAAAGCGGAAGTGTCAAAGAAGCGAGAGGATTCCCTCTTTCTACTTCCGTTTTCAACTGCACCGAGTCACACAGTAAATACGACCTTCTCATTCGGTATTTATTCATAGACTGTATATGTTTGTTCTCCATAAATGAATGCACCACAACAGTGTATTGCTGCAACGCCAGAAAATAAAAAAAACGGATCATGCTATAACGTGAAACTTTGTCATATCAAGATATTTTTGACGTGGTTACATTGATGTTATTGTTAGGCTATAAATACACTATCATGTTACAACTTTTCTATAAAATATAGCGTCTATCTTGTTATAACATGAAACTTTATGTGTTTTTGTTTGTACGTATCCTAAAATAATCAGTTGCTCTGTTTTGTAGGTATGTGTTTGAATATAAGTAACGTAGTTTTGTTCTATTAATTACTGACAAGATTTCTCCCACAGCCCAAACAACAGTATTGTCATTTAGCAAAAAAGAAAACTGGTGAAAATACCATAAAATTGCAATATTTTCAGGCTTCAAATAATGAGAAAATGTAATTGTCTGTACAAATGGGTATAGTTGTATTAGTGTTGGCCGTTTACGTTGAAATGTTTATTCATTGTTAGTTAGTCTCTAAGTGTGCCTACATTAACTTATGATACCTGATTGTAATATTATTTTCAAAATGTATATTATATTATTCGTTAGTGCTCTAAAGAACTGTATACATTTACACGAAACTCAATTTGGGACCGGAACTGTCTTGTTAGTGTTTACTCTTTGGCTGGTCTGCAGCCTTTCTATATATACAGTCTGTTTGCAACAACACAGTAGATTTTTTTCGCTTTAACAGTAAGGTCCTGCACCTCTGAAAGTCTGATTTTACTTTTACATTGAATTGCAGTTATGGCTGATGTCAGCAAAACTGAAAAGGTTCAGTTGCACGTGCCAGATTTAGAGGAACTACGTGGTGGTATGGACTTTGATACACATGCATGTTTATGAAACAGAATGTTCATTAAGAGTTTGTATGCTAATGGTAACGACTTATTGTTGGTTGCAGTATTACAAGCAGGCCTGGAAGATAACTTTGCTGAAGTTCAGGTGAGTGTTGTGGAGTGTCCAGATCTCACCAAGGAGCCCTTCCAGTTTCCTGTGAAAGGTAGGAACATCAGAAAAGAACACTGCATTCTACAACAGTGTGCAGTTAGTAAAATAAAAATATATACACATGATTTATGTAAGTGGCAGAATATCAATACACTGTGAAAATCAGATCCCCCATGCATGCCCTACTATGTTTATTTTGTCAATCTATGCACAATGTAATACACCTACTGTAAGCCTAAGCTTTTGCACCACTTCCATTTATATCAGCCCCTCAAAGTCTTTCATATTCTTCAAGTATGGATGTATTGCACATGTTTTTCTACAGAGTAACAATAATTATTTTAAAAGTGAGATTTATTTGTTGTCCGGTTAAAGATATTATACGATTGATTATTACAAAAAGTGAAATCGTTGCAAAATGAAATCCGTCAGAATTGTGAAGTCTTCGCGTACTAAAATAGAAAAGCACAATCTAATAATGAGCAAACTATTACAAATTACACAATATGATAGACAGTATGAAAACTAAATGTATCACAACTGTCAACCTGATTATTTCAGCCGCTGAAGAGATCATATTGATTTCTTGCAAAACCATTCATACTTCATAGTTTTTTTTTTGCTTTACTTACCATCACCTCTGTCCTATCACTGCAGGCTTGTGTGGTAAGCCTCGGATCACTGATGTTGGTGGTGTGCCGTACCTGGTCCCCTTGGTTCAGAAGCATAAGGTAGATTTAATGAAAATATTGCATGGAGATAATGATCATCAGCCTGTGGTGATGTGGTTTTTACAAAGCCGTCTCTCCTCATTCCAGGAATACAACATGAACACCATATCGAAGGAGCTGGAGCTGCCAGGAGCCTTCGTCCTCGGCGCAGCAGCTGCTCCCTCCAGAGTAGTTGGAATGAACGCAGAGGTTTACTTTTTACATCAAATCACAAACTCTGGCTAATATACATTCACTTGCTTTCTGAAGGGTGCAGCATTAACGTTATTTCCCCTAGAAAGGAAGCCCCAGATATCATCTTGCACAACATGTACAAAAATAACTTGTCAAAGTGGCAAAAAAATAATGAAAACAGTCAGATATTTAATTTTTTATGTAAACCTTTTTTACCAGCTTGTCTTATTACAAAGCAAATATTGGATTAAGGAAAGTAAAACGTTGGGTGGTTGTGAGATTGAAGAACTTTATGCTAGCATGTGTCACTTGCTATATTACACAATGGAAAAATAGAAAGACTAAAGCACTTGTGACTAAATATTCTCATGCCCAGCTGATGCCTCTGGTTCTGACCGAAGCGGAGGGACGGCCTGCAGTGAACAGCAGCTACTTCGCTTCCATCAATCCCGTTGATGGCCAGTGTCTGCAGGAAAAATACAGCAACAAATTCTCTGACTGCAACTTTGGACTTCTGGGCAATCTGTACGCGTGTGAAGGGAAGCCTGGAAAGGTACTGTGTCTTATTTGAACAACAAATCATGTAATCATGTGGAAATCCTTCAAAACGTCATTTTTTACTACTTTTGGCAATAATGAACACGGGTCAGGTTATATATGAACTTTAACACAATTATCTGCAAGTTAGTACCCTCGCTAATGTTTTTGTGTGTGAACTTCAGCCCCATCACATGTGTGCTCCCAATATTTGGTAGGATAAACATTAACAAAAGAGAAGTGACTGCACATGCTGAGCTGTCATGTCCTCTTCACCGGTGTCTCTGCAGGTTATAGAGGTGAAGGCCAAGAAGAGAACCGGGGACCACAGTCTGGTGGCGGCCATGAGGAACACTCTGGAGAGTCACTACCCTGAAAAAAGCCTGGCTCTGGGAGGAACCTTCATCATCCAGAAAGGGAAAGCTAAAATCCACATCATGGTACATTTTGGACATGATACAAGACACATGATTTGTTGCAGTTGCCAGTGGTTCACAATACTTACAATACAGTATAACATAATAGTAACAATTCTGAGGTTTTTGTATTTAACTTGAACTCTACCCCAGTACAATTCAGAGGCAAATATTTGACTTTTTACTCCACATTTACTAACTTTTATTTATAAAGATTAAGTTTGAGAAACCGGCTCGAGATCGCTAGAATTTGAAAATACACAACCGGAGAAAATCTGCCACTTCCTTACAGAGCCCCTCCTCCAACACACACGAACGCGCACATGACCAATGAGGGCACGAGATAAGCTTGTGCACAGATGGAAGGCTGACAGGCAGGTAGGCCATCCAGTTATTTTAGCCGGGCCGGCTAAAATGATTGGTCGTGCTTTTTACAGTACCACGGCTTCCACAGATGACATTTTTTAATGGATTTTTTGTCAAAGCACTTTGATATTCATTGCTATCGGGATGTTAAGAGCATTCCATGGAATATAACAAAAAGTGTATCTCGAGCCGGTTTCTCAAACTTACCTACCCTACCTTTAATAAAACATGTAATCAATACATTATTTATGATGTGTTATTATAGGTTAAGATACACTTTATTGATCGCTTAATAAAATGCACAAGACACCTCGCAGTATAAATAATTAATTGCATCATTAATTATAATCCAAAACGATAATTTATATTATTTTGAAAATGGCTGTTGAGCAAATAAGATACTTTTTTGAAAATGTAAGTATATTTTTATTTATTTAAGTTGAGCTTTGAATTTAGATCTTTTCCAGTTTATTCTCATTCTCGTTTACAAATACAGTTGTACATTTGAATGCAATCTCTCTCATCACTTAACACCCTTCTATAATAAGAATACATAATAATACATAAGAGACAACACAAATAATTACCTATTCTTTAAGCTCTGATGCTCTTTAGACTTAACTTGTAACCCTTTGGTATTACTTCTTCTGCTAAGTTGATGATCTGAATGCTTCTCCTACCTCTGATAACTAAACAAATTGATTTAATTCCCTGTATATTCTCATGGACAGCCTAGAGAGTTCTCTGCCTGCCCCCTCGACAACAACGATGACGTCAACAACTGGCTCAAGCATTTTGAGGTCAGCGCCCCCCTCATCTGCCAGTCAGTGCTGGTATCCAGAGACCCTGTGAGTAAAGCAAACACACACATCTCAGTGAGGCGAGGACACAAGATGAGCATCAGCCATGCATTTAAAAGTAGGCTGCGTTGTATTGGTTCTGCTCATGTGTTTTCTGTGTATGTACCCAGGGTCTGGACCTGCGCGTGGAGCACACACACTGCTTCAGCCACCACGGAGAAGGTGGCCACTACTACATCGACACCACTCCTGACAGTGTGGAGTACCTCGGCTACTTCATGCCTGCAGAGTTTGTGTACCGCATCGACAGGCCCAAAGACACCCATGCAGTTGGAAGAGATTGAAAGATGGATGAATGACTGTGGGCTTCCCCTCAGACAAAACCTGGAAACCCCTCCCTTAGGTGTACTTTCTAAGCCTTATTCCTTTAAATTCATCAACAATTGATTCAAGATAATCCGTTTGACTTTACCTTAAACCAAATAAATGAAGGCTTTTATTAGTTTCTGGTTCTGGGAAAATAAGAAAACAGTACATATCTCCCAAACTACTGGACCACTGGACTTGATATTTTTAACCAACATCACCCA